CCAAAACTGCAACTTCACTAGCTTCATTAACTAGGTATAGGTTTTTCAATTTCTCGTTTTTTATTGGCTACGTTCCCTGTCTCTTGAATTTTTTTTACTAACTCTCGAACATACTTCCTCCTGACATGTCGATCTTGATGTTGTTCATTAAATAGCGGAGCTCTTCTATTCGCACATTTATTGTTCATAAAGTAAAGCGAAATGATATCTACCCTTTCCGCAATGGAATAAACCATAGTGTTTAATTTTAAAAAACACAATTAAATAATCTACCAACCAACGGTTCCAAATAATACTAGAAAATAATTTGGAATCCACTAATTTTACGTTCATTGTGTGTGTATAGCATTCATTTCTGATTTTTACAATTATGTTTTTTTTACGAAAGTGATAATAAATCGCCAAAAACCAATGTAAAGCAAGAAAACTTAACTCGAATGACTGACACTTTTACCGTCACTAATTGTTTGTACATAAGTTTCAATTTTAAAATCAAAATTCTTAATAAGTATTGGGCGGAATTATAAAATTTAAAGTCTGTTGTAAAAAGAAATCTAAAATCGACGGGTCTGAGCGTTTTTCTACAATCCTGACGCAGTTCCTGAAAATGGCTCTGTTTCGTTTTCATTTGGTCACCCTGTATATTAAAAGTGTCTGATTTTTAATAACAATGGTTAACAGTTTGGATGAAAATAATACCTAATTAACTATTTAAAAAGAAACTGAAAAACAACAACTGCCATCCTAGATTCCGTATATAATAAATATATCAGCATATTTTTAGAAACATTTATGAGTAATACTTTCTCTCGATATTAACATTTTTTCATTTTTCCTCACACTTATTCCTTTGTCTTGTACATACAATCTGAATACAATAGGTTGGATTATGAACATCTCAAAGGCATTTTTGACTTGATGCTCTTTCACTATAAACCTCCTTTGAACGTTACTTCATAAATATTGACAACGGCGGAAAATAAACTGCTCCGAAATGTCATTCTGTAATGATGAAGGGGATGTGTGATTTCGAGTGGTTTTCCCTCACTCTTAAACGAAACTCCTTTGTGGGAGATAATTTTTTTATTGAACTGTTTCTTCTGGATCTAATTTATTTTACCGAACACAGATTTTTCCGTTCTCATCATTCCCTGCGTGAAAAAGCTCTATATTCAACAGATTTGATGCATTTTCATTTTTTAACCATTTTGTTGATTTTATACAAGAGTATATCTCGGTGGACACAATTTTTTCACTAAGAAAAATGTATTTAATATAGGAAAGAGGTGAAATTTAATGACACTAGTAAAAAAGTAGAAAATTATGGAAACTCATTTTTAGTCAGGAATTATATATTTTTGCGATATACAATAAGTCTTTTACAGTAAATAATTTAAAATATATAAAAATGTCAAAATGCAAAACAAAAAGAAATGAAAGTATTATTTAATGAAACAAAATTGTACTCATGTAACTTGATTCAAATCGATTTATTTTCACGGAAGGAAGTATGATAGTTTCGCTTACAAAGATTGTAATGCAAAAATTATACTATACATGAAAATCGACTCTGACCTGCTACGAAAGAAAGCCAGTGATAGAAAATTATAAAACAACATACCAACAGGTTATAGTAGATACACAAATATTTAAATTAAGAGAACTTTGAGAGCGGCTTCTGTATTCATACGTCTTAGAACAGCCTAGTGGAAAATTGTAGACGAATTTTTTTTAGAGAAGTTTATGACAAGTCAATATTTGAATGAAAAATTTTATATAATTTATCAATATCTTCCTGTTAGAGAATATTATATAAGTGTTATCTGTGACAGTGACTTGTGTAACATCTTTACACCAGTAGAGTATGTTTCGTTAATAGCAAATTCTAAAAAGGAACTACGAAACATATTACAGTCGACCAAAAAAACCAAAAATAGAATTTTGTACCTATTTCTAAATATAAAAATTTAAGTTATGAAATTAAAATGCCAGGCACAACCTTTTATAGATGGATTTTGAGTATCCAAATGTCGTTTACCCAAAAGTATCGAAAGGCCTTCATATAGGAAAGCCATATGGAGGGAAGGCCTATTAAAAGATATTTAACAAGTTCATGTATAATTTTTTTAAACAAGCTTTTGGGACGTCATTTTATTTTCGTATTCTCCTCAGCAAACGCTTTCATTTGATTCCCATATCATGGGGGTGCATAAAAAATAACTGGTCCGCCATCTTTGGGAGTCCGCCATATTGGACTAACTTAGCTAATGCATTGTCATCCAAAATGCAAAATTTCAGCTCAATCGGTTGTGGATAATTGTTTTAAAATTCATTTGCAAGATTTGACCCACACTGTGGTTGTGAGGAACACAAATGGTTTTGTCAGCAGCTTGAAGATCCTATCAAGTCAATTGCAAACAAAAATTTAATGTTGTGGTTGGTTTATAAAAAAGTATTAGTCCTAACTTAGTCTTAGTCTTAGTATTAACCTTTACACTAATCTTAGTATTAGTCCTAAGAATAGGTACACGTTTATAAAAACAATGTGTGGTCCTAATTTTATTAAGATTAACCAATGAGCGATTCGACTACGCGCATGGCTAGTAATATCACAGCATTATACTTGTTTATTATTCTGTGGTAATGTTATTTTATTTGTTTTGTTGGTGAGTGAAAAGAAAAATATAACCTATTACTATTATATGTGTGCCTTCTATCATCTAAAATAAAGAACCTGTTAAGATTAAGTTCTTGTTAAACATGCTGTCGCCTAAAGTAACTACATTTGTAAGTTTATTATTACTTTCAAGTGCAGTATTTGCACAGTATTATTTACGATGTCCACGTCGCGTGCGTAAATTCAAAACACGTCCAATGAATCGAAAGAGACAGAAAGAAGGATTGTACCATGTATTGGTTCAAAACCTTTAAATAAAGAAATTGATACAGAACAGTACTTTAAATTTATGAGAATGACTCCCGAAATGTTTGATAGCTTGTTGCATCTAGTAGGACCTAGACTTCAGAAAGATAGAAGAGGAGGTTCACTGTCACCAGATCATCGTTTAGCAATAACACTACAGTAAGTTACAAAAGTTTTATCATTAATTAATAACTAATTTTATTTAGTATTTTAGTTATTTGGCTGAAGGATGTTCCATGCAAGAAATAGCGAGAGGTTTTCGAATTGGAAAGGCAACAGTCCATGTCATTATAAGCGAAACAACCCAGATTTTGTGGGAAATTCTCATGCCACTTGTATTACCAGTACCAACAACAGAAATGTGGAGAGCTATTGCTGGAGGATTTTATCGAAGATGGAATATTCCAAATTGTGTAGGAGCTGTTGACGGCAAACATATACATATTCAGGCACCAAATTATTCTGGTTCAGAATTTTTTAATTATAAAAAAGGATTTAGCTTGGTATTAATGGCTACTTGTGATGCTTATTACCGTTTTGTATTAGTTGATATTGGAGGAGCGGGCTCTAACCATGATAGTGTTGTATTCCAGGAAAGTGGATTTGGCATGGCAATGTTTAATGGACAGTTAAATTTACCAAATGCTCAAAATTTGCCAAATTCAACTATAAAAATGGAACATTTTTTTGTTGCTGATCAGGCATTTCCATTACATAAAAATATTATGAGACCATATCCCGGTCATCAATTAGGAGATGCAAAAAATATTTTTAATTATCGTTTGTCACGAGCCAGACGTACAATCGAAAATACATTTGGCATATTAGTTCAAAGGTGGCGTATTCTTCGTAGGCCAATAATAGCCAATATACATTTATGTGAAAACATAACAAAAGCCACAATTGTAATACACAACTTTATCCAAAGAGGTGAAATGGATATACCAGCTTCTGAAAGTAAATATTGTGGAATGGGACGTCGCGATTACATAGACGAAAATGGAGTACTTCATGCGGGAACATGGAATAATGTTCCATGTAATTTACGCTCAGTAGGGAGGTTAAGTTCCAATAATGCCAGCCAATGTTCAAAGGAAGCTCGAAACATGCTGCAAGAATATTTCTTATCAAAAGAAGGTTGCTTACCATGGCAGTGGGAATACGTGTCGCGGGGGTCACTTCCTGAATAACATACCAAAAAGAAGTACATTTTGAGACTTATTTGATTTATAAACAGTAATGTCTGAATAATCCGTACCCCCTATAATCTGTCAAAGTCCCCTGTAATCCATATAACCTAACTGTGGAAAATCATACTCATAATACGAACTCCTGTCTTCTATAATCTGAACTACCAATCTAACGTCTGCCTGTCTGTGTGATAACAGAGCTCATAGTTAAATATTAAAATACATCAAGTGTCTCTTGACACTTTGATCAGCACATAGGACTCTATGTACATGTTCAGTGTATTTTATATAATCTTACATTTTTCTCGTCCAGTTTTTTAATATTTTTTGTTCTATATCTTTTATAGATAAAACTTATGAGTTTATTAATATACATTTTTTTTATAACCACTGGAATTTTTTTATAACAATCGGAATGTATTATAGCACTTTTTGTTTCGTATTTTTTTAATTTGTAGTTATAAAATAAAAATTAGAAATACCATTTCAGTTATAAAAGAAAAAAAAATTGTCTGAAATCAATATTAAAATATTTCTTAGTAATATATTACGTTTAGATTTAAAAAAAAGTACCTATATTTGTAGGATAAAAGTTTTAATTCAAATATTTTTATTGGAGAATATATGATATGTAATAAATTGTATCAATTTATTTGGAAGTATTTCCAAGATATTGTAATAAAATTGTGTCTTAATGGCCCCCTTTAAAGGGGCGTAGCACCACAAGGGGGCACTTTCGGACAAGTCAACAGGATCTTTTTTGCTTAAAATTACTTTATCATTTGTGTTCGTTTGTTACGGCGGAAATGAAACACCTTGTATAGAAATAAATAATAAGTATAATGAAAGAGTAATATAAATATGGGTTATATAAATCATGAAAACCATTAATCTTCATCACTTGTTGCCTCTGCGATTATTTGCATTATTTTAGCTTTTGTTAGTGCTCTGGCTTTTTTCTTTTTGATAGACTTTAAGCAGAGTCCAACCGCCCTCCCAAACACTATCTCCTCATTCTCCATTTCATTTGACTGACTGGTTGCTCCTAATTTATTGAAAGCATTACTAATGCTTTGTGTCAGGTCTGCCAACTCCGACATCTTTTCATCTCTCTTGCGTTTTGGAGTTTGTCTTACAATTACTTGACTTGCTCGACTGGTACTTGTCGATGCCAATGCCGACGATGGCCTAGTGGTGTCACTACTATCATCCGGTAAAGGTTCCGTGGCAGATACTTCCGTGTCAATAGGCAACGGGGAGTCAGTGATATCATCCGTTACTATGGAATCATTCCACAAGGAACTTCCAGCTTCTGCTGGTTGTAAAATGTTTGGTGAATTTTTTGGTATATTTCCTACCGTCCTATAACAAAAAATTATAATTAATACAATAAAAATTATTATTTATAAAATATTTATAAAAAATAAATAAAAAATTCTTGAATACCTTGTCAAATATCTACTTACTTTCTACTCACTACTATATCTTCCAGGAATGTGCAGTATTTATACAGAGGCCATGTAATACTGTACGCTTCGGAACCAGATGGCCTCTGCGATAAGCGTCTCTCTTCTGCAAAGCGATGCCTGATATTGTTCCAACGCTGCTCACAATTCTCCGCTGAAATATAAGTAATAATAAGCACATGTATTTTTTCTTCAATTATAATTTATAAAGTACCTGAAGTCATCATAATGCTGGCGATGGTCGCCCAGGCATTTTCTATTTGCAACTTATTTTTATGATTACAATGTCTTTTATTCCACAGTACACTATATTGTCTTATAAGTTCGATCAATTGATAGTCGTCAAACTTTTTATCCATATTTAAACAAATAATTTCACACAAAATCTTCCACACAAACACAATGACATAATGGCGACCATAGATAAGAACAAGTAATGGCGTAATGGCAACCACCATAGACAAAGACAGGAGACCACTATGCTACGAAATGCAATACTTGTGCATGCGCACTTCTCAGATCTTAGTCTTAATCCTAGAAAAATTAAAAGATGGGAACTTTCAAGGTCATGTCTTAAGACCTCCTTACGACTAGGGATTTTTATAAACCGATACATTACATTCTGTACATTTAACTTTTTAGGACTAAGATTAAGGTTAAGTTACGGCTAAGTTAGGACTAATACTTTTTTATAAACCAACCATTAGTTTGCCTTCAGTAACAAATATGTAATCAATATAGCGCGCTATTCATTTTACCGCCTGATTTCTTTTATCTAGAATGAATCAGTGAAACTAGATCAGAGATTAATTTTTAAGATAAAATGTTTTTCTTAAAATAACTGTTTATGTCTATATGTTCCCTTTATATGATAATCGATTCAATTGTGAAGACAAATACACAGCCGATTCTATAATTTTCATAAATATGAACGATTCCAGCTTGCTTGCGGTAGTTGTTATGTAAAAATGTATTAATGCAATGGAGTTTGCATTGACACAATAAAAAAAGTGCCTTCCTTGTATTGATGACCTAGTACGTATTATTAAAAACAGTTCATTATATCGAACTTGCAGGTAATTTATTTATTTATGTCGAAAAGTTTTATGTTTTATTATAATGACGTTTTTGAATATATTTAGTTATTTTTTCGTTCTTTGAAAGAAGATAACTTTATCTTAACAATGGTTAATAAACAAAGGGTATCATGAATATCGTTGAATATCATATGGGTCAATTCAGCCCACATGAGTTTCCATTCCAGGAAAAAGACCGTTTTTGCGTAGGACTTAAAAAACGACATTGTTAATGTTTTAGCAATTTTGACCATAGATGAATATATCCTATTCCAGTAGACTAAAAGAAGGCTCAGATTCGAATCAAATAAAAGAAAATACATTGTAGAGATGTTTTAAAATCTTATGAGCTTTGACCTTCATATGCGCAGAAACATAATTCCGACCGTCGCCTAAATTATTCTACGTCCTAAAAACATTACACCTATTATTCACAGTCTCTCTCGAGCTCTAGCGTAAACAAGCCTTTGATCCGATTACAAATATCATAATAAAATGCCCTATTCTTTATTATTTTAATTTAAACAATAAAAATATATATAACGAACGTTCGCCAGTTGACTTTATTGATGCCCGAGCGCCTTAGTTCATGTCTACTTGTAATGATGCACATGGTCTAATTCTGAGTCAATGTTAACGTGCTTATTAGAAGAATTATGGGGATACGCCACGCCTTTCGCGCATTTCGCGGCTCATGAGATATTAAAAGACATCTAACACGGTTGTCAGTTTCATATTAGTCGTTAGTACGTTTATAACCCTAAGATGTGCGATTTTATTACAGGATTTTTTTATATTAAGGATATTGATCTGGTGGTAGAATCAATCGCAGTTCAGTAACTCAAAATGTGGAATTTTAGCGATTTTTTATAGCTAGGAAACAACCATGACCTAACTGCAAAAACAAACGTTTTTTTTTAATTTTGTAAGCCTGTGTAATCGTGTAATTAATTTGAAGTTGATCCCTCGCAATAGGTCTTTTCTAAATAACTGCGTGTGTAGGTTTAAAAGAATGAAATAAATAATGAACGACAAAATTGAGCTCTTAGGTAAAATTCCCCCTGCCAAACAATATTAGATAATAAATACGTACGTCCGACTGTCCTCCAAATGCTAAAAATGGACTCTGAAAATGGTTCACTGGAAAACAAGCAACGTTCAGTTTCAATTGAGATTCGCGTGTAATTATAAACGTAATATTAAATTTATGAATCTTGGAAAGGGACGCATATTCTTAAGTAGGCCTAAAAATACATACCGCCTTAGGGGCCTTACAAAATTAGACCTTTCCTTTTGTGATTCCAAATTTCATCGCAAAAGAACAAGGCTCTTTGTTTCGCATCGTTTCTCTTACTCCTTATAAACAGTTATTTAATGTATTGAAAACGAGGCGCACATGTGAATAATGTACCTTGTAAATACGAACTCGGCACGTTATTTGCTCTAGGATATTTTGCTAATATTATGGAAACGTTCTGTTTACGGCAGCGCAGTATCATATAACGGTATTGATACTAGAACAATACGTCCTATTAGAAGTTAAAAGCAACATTAAGCGACGAAAACAACCAGATATCGCATTTGTTGACGTTCAACCCTTGGTGTTAATATTACTCCTAACAGTCCTAACACTAGCAACGACTTCGTTAATTGTAGAAGCATTTGTGGCGATATAGGTACAGAAGCAACGGGAAATTAATGAAAACGTATTGATAATTGCTTATTGAAATCACTGCGGTACCACAAATGTGGGAAATTCAATATTTTTGTAAATAATTAGTATTTTTTTTTTTAAACGAAGCGAGATGGCTGTAGCCAAGTTTTAGCAAACTTCAACTTTCAACCTTTGTTGCTGTGCCTACTTCCGAGACATTGAGCTGTACATCCCGTCTACCTGCAAGGACAGAATTCTGTAAAAAAATATATACCTAAATTTTTTCTGAATTTATTTAATTCTCCATTTCCTATCTAAATGGTGAGAAAACTGTTATAGAGGTTTTAGTATTCAAATCATATTTGTAGGTTGGCGCCCAATTCAGTAACTTATTTTTTATTCCCAGTAACGTTTTCGCATTCTGGAAAATTAGATGCTGAAATAACATTAGAACCAATCCACCTCCTATTTACCTCCCCTAGAATTAATACTTTAATCCAAAGTTATTTAATTTGCAAAACATTTTGAATTTTATAAGTTTCTTTGATTGTAAGGTATTCTTATTGCAAATATGACATCATTAATAATTCGAGGCATAGAAATTAGCGCCTTGCTTATTCGCCAGAAAACTTAAAATTACTAAGACTTTGTATCTTATTTTTCTTTAATTCATCATAATTACTTCTACTTAAAATTGCATTTGCATTAGAAAAATTCTGAAAATGTTTTTTTTTAAGGAACAGTTTTAGGGATATTTTTATGTGTAATAAGTTTATTAGATTAGAAAAGGTAATTTGCAAATTACCCCGCGTCTAAATATACAGGGTGTCCCGTTCATGTTTAAAAAAAACTTGTGTGCAAGTTCCTCATGGGAAAATAATAGGGGTAGTTCATATAACGTTTTTTTCTTAGATGCCCTGTTTACGAGATACAGTGTGTTGAAGTTGTTACTCTCCAAATGGTTTTCCTTAATTATTATCTTTAAATCGACTAAAGATAAAAATGTCAAAAGTTGTACACTAGTAAACATCAACTGTGTGTTAAGAATAATGTGCAAATGGTTTCTTTCTGAAAAGCAGTGTCACCGACACAGGTAATTTGAGGGGTACAATCGAAAAAAAATATGTTAAAAATTTATTACATTTCTAAACGGTTCTATAAACTCTAAAGCATGTGTAGTATGTGTCCTTTTCGAGAAAAATGAAGTAGCATTTTTTTTGCTCACATAAAGCGGCACAAGTACATTAACAAAATATTAAATTGAGAGAGGACTTTACCATTGAATGAGTTGAAGACATTTAGCTACCAACAGTATTTGCATTCAAGACTATTATTTTAATTCTTACGTATCACATGAAACACTTAACTTGTAAACATTTTATTACCTAACTAAAAAAAAATCAAATAAAATTTATTTTAAGTTTCAGCTTGTAAACTAACATTTAAAAAAGTAAATCAAAATAAACGGATTATGGTAATTAACTATCTATTAATAACTAATTTTAGATTTTGTAGACTACTGCACTACCATTAGTAAAATAAACAATTGTTGAATGGACTAAATTGTTGATGGACATGAATGCTTAAAAAAAGTGACAAAAACAGAAAAATATTAGGAATATTAGACATACAGAACAAAACAGCTGCACAATTAAATAAATGGCCAAAATTCGAAATACTACAGTAGATGCTGAAATTGTCCCCTATTTTCTTCTATGCAACTTCATTTTTCTTGAAAATGGTACATGCCACCGAATTTCAACAAGTATACCTTTTTTGCAGTATGCTTTAGAGTTTACAGACCCGTTTAGAAATGTTATAAATTTTGAATTTTAACATATTTTTTTTTCGATTGTACCCCTCCAATTACCTGTATCGGCGATACTGCTGTGAAAGAAACCGTTTGCGCATTATTCTTAACGCACAGTTGATGTTTACTCATGTACAAATTTTGTCATTTTTATCTTTAGTTGATTTAAAGATAATTAAGGAAAACCATTTGGAAAGTAACAACTTCAACACACTGTATCTCGAAAACAGGGCATCTCAGAAAAAACTTTACATGAACTACCCCTATTATTTTTCAATGAGCAACTTGCACACAAGTTTTTTTGAAACATGAACGGGACATCCTGTATAAGGAAACATGGGTCTAATTTTTGGAACAGACCGTTTTCCTTTTTTTTTTGTGGGACTGTGCTAAGACAAAAATCCTGACTCTCATAATGTAAGCAGAAAACATTTTTATGACTGCATCCTTTATCGCTTAAGAATGTGATAAGCAAATTTGATTGGTGATTGAAGCTTAACGCTAATTAAGATTCACATTCACAGTATTAAACTTATTGTTCTCAACTGTATAGATATTTTGTTATAGTAATATTCTACCAATATTGTAAAATGGCTCAAAACATAATTGTATAA